TCCCACACCTCTGCTCCTCATCCACAACCCTCTGGGAGCTGTTCAGGCTGACCAGGCAGGACAGGAGCCAGGCTGGACCGGGGAGGCTTTGCTGCTGCCCGCACTTGCCTGTACTGCTGCCGGGGGTCCAGCTTGCCCGTGGTGGTCTCCCAGAGCTTGGAGGCCAGAACCCGGACGATGTTGAGGAAGAGGAAGAAGTTCACCTGCCAACAGACACCCTGTTGGGTGCTGCCCACAGTGACCTTGGGTGTGCCCCCCATGACACAGACAGGCAGTTCTGGGTGAGGAGCAGGCAGGGACAGGGGGGTGATGCCGTGGCCAGGGCAGGGAGGGACCAGTGCCCCTGGATCCCTCTGGGTGCTGAGAACACAACCCCAGTGACCACAAGCAAAGGAGCTCTGGGTTGATACCCTTCCCCCAAAAGGGATTGGGAGATTCAACCACAGGAAGGGGCTGCCCAGGGAGGTGGTGGATTCCCCAGCCCTGGAGGTGTCTAGGGAATGACTGGACGTGGCATTCAGTGCTCTGGGCTGGGTGACAAGGTGGAGATCACTCAAAGGTTGGACTCAGAGGTCATAGAATCATATTTCTATGATTCTGTGATTCTTACCACGATGGCAGCCAAGATGGGGACCTGATAAATCCACTTCATGTTCCCTGCACTGAGGTCCCAGCACCTGAGAAGACCAGTAAAGAAACACCTTGGAGAAATATGACATCCCTGGTCAGGAGAATTGCTGGCTGATGGCTCCCTTTTCCCCCAGCCAACACCCACCTCATTCCAAATTCCTGCTGAACACTTGGTGGCCTTTGTCCTTTTAAAATGCCTCACTCCAGAACATGCCCTTTAACATTTGTCTTTTGCACTGATCAGTTTATGGTGCAAACCTGCATCCACCATCCCCCCAAACGCAGAGCAAAACACCATCACTCTGCATTACTGACAGTGTCAGGAACAAGCCTTGAACACGTGTTGCCTCCTCCTGTTCTCTTCTGGAAAATTTTCATTTCCAAAAGCTCTGGTGCCCACAGATCCTTTGCTGGCACCAGCAACCCCCCTTTCCCTCCCCGGGGATCGCTGAGGAAGGTGGGTGTCACGTACTCTGTGTCTGCCAGCGAGGCCCTGACGCTGGCCCAGACGGACACAAACACGGCAGGGAGACCTGGAGGGGCAGAACCAGAGCGAGGAGCAGGGATGAAGCATCACATTTGCAGATCAAACCAGTTCCTGCCTCCCACTGCCCCTCTCCAGGCGCTCACGGCCGATGCCACAGCTCACAGCTCTCAGGGAGCACGGCTGGGCTCGGGCTCTGTGCTCACCCCAGCCGATGATGATGAGCACCCACAGGTAGCTCTTGTTGGAGAGGAAGGCCATGAAGATCAGGCTGTGCAGGTAGAGACCTTCCACCAGGATCCAGTAGTGGTTGGTGGCCAGAAAATAGAGGAAGAGAGTCACCACCACCTTGCAGCCGACCTGTGAACACAGTCAGAGAGGTGCCCGTGTCAGGCTGGTCCCCAAAAGCAAAACCTGGTGGCTTTTGCTCTCTGACCAACAAAACTCAGCTGTGCCCCACGTTCCTCTTGCAGGGACCTGCATCTACCCTGGGATATTCCAATATCTCCCTGTCCCAGGACACAAACTGCAGACCAATGTCCCCAGAGGCTCTGACCCTCACCGTGGCACCAGGATGAGGAGGAGCTGGGCAGACCCAGAGGTGGCCCTTCATCTCCTCCCCCTGAGCAGCAGAGCCCTGGTCTGGGAGGGTCCCAAGCACATCCCTCGTACCAGGGCTCCTAAATCCCCTTTTCCCCCCATCCTGCCTCCAGTCCCAGTGCACCACTTGCCAGGTGGCTCCGTTGTCCCTGCGAGGGTCCCATTCCAGCCTTGAAGTCGTCCTCCCTCACCCTGTCGGTCTCGCTGGCCAGGGGGCCTGAGTAGAGCACCATGTCCTTGATGAAGATGCTGATGGCCCGGCAGATGAAGGAGGTGAAGAGGTGGACGTGGATGTAATTCCGTGTGCAGTGCAGGCGCCTGCAGAGAAGGGATGTGACACCAGCCCGGCTGCCCAACAAACTCCTCACACCTGGGCTCAGGCAATGGGGGGTCCCAGAGATGGGCACTGGGGTGTCAGCCCTCCCATGGGCACAGGAGGGGGCAAGTGGGGTGTCCACTCCTTCCAAAAGCAGGGCGGAGCAGATGGAGCTGGTCATGCCGGGGGTGTTTTGATGTCTGTGCTGGGCCTGGGGTCAGTTCCCATTCCCTCGGGGCTGCCCCTGCTCAGGGGCTGGGGGTGTGGGCAGTGGGAGGAGGAGGGTTCTCCCCACACAGGGCTGGGGCTTTGGCCTGTCCTTACTTGAAGTAGGAGAGGATGCAGACGGCGACGATGAGGGAGGCCAGGGAGATGGAGTAGCCCACCGTGTACATCAGGTGCAGGCGGTCAAACACCTCCTGCGAGAGAAGGGCTGAGCTCCACGACCCCTCCACAGCCAGGACCCCCCACCCCCGGGCTGAGAGCACAGGGGGAGCGGGGCTGGTTTGGGGAGTGGAGCAGGAAGAGCCCCCTGCTCCCAGCAATTCCCCTGGCCTTTGGTGAAGGCTTGGTCCCCTTCCCAACCCCTTTCCCAGCACCCTTGGCAGGCAAGGTCACCTTCTCGCGGCTCCGGCCCTCGGAGGAGAAGAGCAGAGCACACTCCGTGTAGTTGGCCCAGGTCTTGTTGATGCTGAGGGCCATGGCCCAGGTCCCGTAGGCACTGCAGTACCTGTAGGCGTGACCTGGGGACAGCAAAGGGCACTGTGACAGCAGAAGGGCCCGTGGGATGCCCCAACATGTCCCTGCTCCATGGGCTGTCACCGAGGTGAGGTCACTCCC